CAAAAGTGGTTGCGAGTGTAGTTCAGTGGCCCTAGGTTCAAGCCCCAGTTCTGCAAAAAGAAACAAAAATAAAAAGAAGGAAAGAAGAAAGGAAATCTCCTATTTTGTGCTTAGGGACTTCTCCTAATGGTACATTGCACACCCTGTTGTTCTCATCAAAGTTTACTGATTATAAGTATTGGTCACATCTTTTAATATTGTCCTAGCAATATCTGGACAAGGGTTTGGTCAAACAACTGAATCCCATGACCCAGCCACTTTGGGATACAACCTGGCTGTCACAAACAGTTTCGTGACTTCTCTGGCCTTCAGTTTCTCACACGCCCAAGAGCACTGACTATACCTCAGTTTAAACATTTCTCCCTATCCGTGGTGGTCCAGGAAGGTCTGCTGCTCAGGACGTGGCAGTGAGCACTACGGCCCCTGCTGGCTGGAGTGGACATTGGGAGGTGGGCAGTGAGGGACACTGCTTTGTTACCATGCAAGCTGTCAGATATCGGCATAAGCTAAGGAGGAAACAGCCAGGGGACTGGGTGAGAGGCCGTATGCGAAGGGAAGAGCCCAGGACTGAGCATCCTGTAGGTGCTCAGATGCGGCCTTCCTTCCTTCGCTCCCATAGCCATGATGTAAGAAATCCAGGGCTGTCTTTACCCTGCCAGAAAGTGTGCTGTCCTTGTGTTGGTACAGGTCATCTTTGAGCAGTTACTGGTTATGCATGGGGCTTCCCTGGGGGAGAAAGTAAAAGAAAAACCTTGGCTGCCTCAGGGCCTAAGCAAAGTCACTTTATTCCTGAGTGTGGACAACTGGAATTTAGGAAGGTGTAAATAATTCATGAAGTCCTAAGACTTTATGGAAAAGGAAAGGGCTAAATCTCCAGTTCAGTAGGAGCCTACAGCACCCGCTCCCGAGCCCAGTATAAAGATGTTTTGAAACACTGTGCACTCTCTGAAAATGAAATTCATTGCTGTTATTAGCAGTTAATGCACATGGTCCAAAATAATCAACATTATTCCATGATTGAAAATACAAGAGAAATAACACGATTTATATTTAATGATGCGAGTGCTCAGGAGTAACTGTCCTAGGTGACAAAAATGCTCCCGAGGTCTTCAGCACACCCATGTGACAGTGAGGATCTTGGCCGTGGTGGGATGATTCACAAGGGGGAGCCAAGCAGGGTGGCACAGCCTCTGAGCTTTAGGAACAAGCCTGGGAGCTGCATTATACCCCCTGAAAGAGGCCGGGGGAAACAGCACATGTAGGTGGCAGTGTACCACATGAGCCATATACAACCTTTGGTCAAGAGTGACCTAGAAGCCAAATGCGGCAGACACTTGCAATCCCAGCACTCTTGGAGGTTGAGGCAAGTTCCAGCCCAGACTGGAAAATTTAGCAAAACCCTTGTCTCACCTCCTCCTGCCCGCTGGTTTCCTACCAGCTCATCTGATGGCCAAGCCCTTGTCAGCTTCCAGTCACTTCAATCTCTAGGATTTCCTCAGCCCCCGGCATCCTAGCCATCTTGTTGCTGGCTTGTGCTGATTCCACATAAGGACAGAGAATTTTCTTCTTATAACCCACAAGAGGGCACAATTATCTGACCTTTATCTGACGTGAACCTCTGGTCTCAGTCACAAAGGCTCTTCTCTGTTTTAGGTTTTGTCATTTTAAACACTTAACTCCAGCCTTCGCTGCCAGTTTGGAGTGGAGGGAAGCTTGTCTCTGACGGAAGACAGGAGGATGCGCTCTTCACCCCGCAGAACTCTGGCATTTTCTTCCTAGGCTTCAGAACAAAGCCCAGAGGAAGTAGAATCCATCCCAATGGTGGTGGGCAAGGGTCTGTGAGGGGCTTGATTCCCCCAGGAGGAGGGGTAGCTCCCGGGGGCTTGCCTTCACCCATTTGGGTCTCTGAACCCGTCTCTTCTGAATTTTATGTTCTGTGACATAGCACAGCTCATGCCAGCTGCCAAGTTCTGTGTGAATGAAACTCAGCTAGACTCGGCTTCAGCAAAGAGAGGAATCCCTTGCTGATCTGGTGGGCCTGGACCAGGGGATGTCAGGCGGCATCCTCCTCTCTCTACTTGCCCCTCCCTGGTTTCTCTTCCCACCTACGACAGTGGTAGGGTTGTGGCTGCAGCTCATCTGGCACGGTGGGGAGGCCAGGTCCCAGCCTTTCTCCCCAGCACCACAGTGAAAAGGCCCACTGCTGGGGATTTAGCTCAGTGGCAGTGCACCTGCCTCGCAAGTGCAACATCCTGAGTTAGATCCCCAGTACCAAAAAAAGAAAAAGGAAAAAAAAAGGAAAGAGCACTGGGCCACACAATAAGAAACAAAGCATGGGAAACCAAAACACCAGCATGGCCAGTGTGGCATGTTCACAACACAGGATGGCACCTCCCCAAAGCCCTGGCGTGGAGGGGTTGGAGCTGCTCCTCCTGGTCAGAGAACTGGCACTCATTCCACCAAGGCGACTTCCAGGTGGCCAGCCTCACCTGAAGCCCACATGTGTTCATTGTGGTTGTAAATTAGGGCTCAGATAAAGAGCTCCTCTTTACCAAGCACTTCCGGATCCCAGTACTGCTCATCTCTCCATCGAATCTCCTCCTCCTCTCCATCTGAGGGAGATGGAGGAAGCTTCGAGTGCTTCTGTCCTCAAGACACCTGCAAGGCATCCTGTAATCAAAACAAGGCAGGGATGGGTGCCTAACAGAACCACCTCTCCTCTCCCTTCCATGCCCTTGTCTCCAGCCTCCCTGAACTCACCTGCCCCCAAGGAGCCCAAGTTCCAAGGTTCACCAAGGACAGATACTTGTGCACTCTGCCCCAGTCCCACCTCTGCCAGACCTCCCATGGGGCAGGTCTCACCACGCCTGCCCTCCTGTCATTCCCGCTTCTGTGCACAGTGCTCTCATTGGTCTGATGACTCTGTGCCAAGTGACCATAGCAATAGCTTCATTTGAATGGCTTCAGTTCTGAGTGGCATGTTAATAAGCTGGCAGAGCCCAGCATCCACTTGTGGAACTGAATTGCTAAGGTGAGTGAAAGCCTGCAAAGCACTCCATAAAAAAGCCCTTGAAGATTAGGAATCCAATAAAGCTGCTAATTCTGAATATGATCTGATTCAAGGATAAAGCAAGTGTATTCATCTAGAGAGTGTTTACTTCATCTATGAGTAACAAGTGCTTTCAAGTATCATTGACACAAATGCTTTGTAACTGTAAGCAAAAGCAAGTGCTGTTTAGCTAAGGTTTGTGGCTTAATAACTCACTAGAGTCTGGAAGTCTGATCTCCCAATCTAGATTAAATATCTCAGGGCCAATGCCCCACCCTGTAGTTCTATGCACATTGTAAAAAATACTTGGTTAGGGAGTGGGGTTGGTCAGTTCAGGCTACTGTAACAAAATACCACAGACTTGGCAGTGTAAACAACAGAAGTTTTTTTTGTTTCTCTCAGTTCTGGAGGCTGAAGATCTGAGACCAACATGTCAGCAGGGCTGGTTTCTCCTGAGGCCATTCATCTTGGCTTGTAGATGGGGTCTTCTCCCTGTGTCCTCAGCAGGCCATCCTCTGCATGTGTTTGTGTGCTGATCTCCTTTTTTTTTTTTTTTTTTTTTTTTTTTTGGTACTGGGGAATCTAATTCAGGACCTTGCACTTGTGAGGCAGGTGGTGGCACCACTGAGCTAAACCCTTGGCCAATGATAGGCTCTTCTAAGGACATCAGTCACACTGGATTAGGTCCTATCCAAATGAGCATTCTTAATTTTTGTCACCTTTTCAGAGACCCTGTCTCCAAATACAGGCACATTCTGAGGTCCTGAGGATTACTATTTCAGCACATGAATTTGTAGGGAGCACAGTTCAGCCCACAAGTGTTGATCACCAATTGTGATCCTTCACTTTGAGGTCCTTATGGATGAAGGTGCTCTGAGTCAACCAGGAGAGATTTAGAACTCTGTTTCCAGAGCCTACTCTGGACCTGAGAAAGAGGGTTCTGGGGTTTGATGTTACTACGTTCCATGGAGCCTAGCTCATCATGGCCTGATGGTTGGGAAACTCTGTCTTGAACACTGCTTGGCTGACCTGATCCAGTCACCAAAATGACTGGTTCGGGACAATCAGACTTCACGGAGAAATCATTTTGTAGAAAAAAATTCACTTGGATTGCAGAGAATGGAGGGGAAGTAGAGTAGAGGGGGACATTTCACTTTATTTTTGGAAGCTGGAAGACAGATCACAGGCACTGCTAGAGAAGAAAGAGCCAAGAACTTCAGCCCCAAATGCCCACGGAGGGCAGGGAGGGAGGCCCTGCAGCTGGTGTGCAGTGGTTAAAGTGGGGAGAGAAAAACAGGGAGCTCAGGGGAGAGCAGCAGCTGCTACCTCCACCTCCACTCTCCCACCCAGCCCTGCCTATATGATAGAGAGAGCAGGTTTGGGTGCCTGGCGGGCAGGAGGAAGGGACTTTCGGGTCTTCAGCTAATCAAAGCAGGGGTGGGAGGCACTGTGGTTTAAATGTGTCCCCTGGGGACTTCATCTCCAAGTTCCCATGTCGATGGTGTTTTGAGGTTGGGCCCATGGGAAGTAATCAGGTTAGCTGAGGTCATGAGGGAAGAGACCCCATGACGGCATCAGTGGCTTTAGGAGAAGAGAGAGCCTGAGTCAGCACACTTACTCTTTCTCACCCTGGGACCTCTGCACCATCTCAGGACTTAGCAGAGCAACTGCCAGCAAAGACCTCACCAGAAGCAGCTCCCAATGGTCCTGGCCTTGATTGCTGATCATTTAGTCTGTGACTATACTTTGGATCTCTGCTGTCCCTCCAATGTGCATGTGTTAACAAGGCCTGGTCCACAGCCTGTTGGCACTACTGGGAGGTGGTGAAACCTCAGTGGGACTGTGGGACCCCAGCCCTTCCTCCTCTTCCTCTCTTTGGCTTCCTGGCCATGAGGTGAGTGATTTTGTTCTGCCAACTGTACCACCACATGTCTAAGAGCAATGGGTCCAGCTGATCATGGACTGGAACCTCTGAAACCCAGAGCCCAAATAGACCTTTCTCTTAAAGCTGTTTGTCTCTCATATTTAGTACAGTGATGGAAAGCTGACTTACACAGTGATGTTCAGGTACAGGAACAGAAAATGGATTAAGACAGGAGAGTCTAGTATTTAACCACCCAAGGCCAACAGATGGTATCCAGGCGCTAAATCAAGAAAGGTGGAAGTAAGTACATTGTCTGTAGACGTGAAAGTAAATGAACAGGAGGATAGAAGTGGGGTGAGGCATCCAGGTAGCTGTGGGGCTGGTGAACCAGAGATTCGGGTTCAGTAGGTCTGGAGTGAGAGGTTCCGGTCCTGCTCCTGGGGACCAAGCCCCAGGGAGTGTGGCTCCCAGTGGAAGAGGTGTCACAGGTCACCTGTGGCCAGTAGGCGGTTGGTTTGGTTCCCTTGCATTTGGTGGGTGGAAGCTGGCCACAGTGACAGAGAGTCGGGGTTCAGGGGCTGAGAAGCAAGAAGTGGATTTCCTTCTCATGGAGAAAGGGCAGGTGGGGGTCCAGGAGGAGCATCCTCTGTGTACCGAGGTCACTGCAGAGGCCTAGGTGGGCCGGGGTGCTGCTGCCATCACCAGTGAGTGGCCTGAGTCCTCTCACCCCTGCCATTCAGAGAGGGCAAAATTGGAGGAGGGGGTCATGAAAATGGAGAGGAAGGAGCAGAGTAAGGCTGTATCACTCAGGCCCCTCCATATGACTCTGTCCCATGGCTGCACCAACCTGTTCCTGCAGGAAGGGACTACAGCTTTGCTACAGTGCAGAATTTGCAAAGGAAACAGAGGACAGTTTGTAACAGGACAGTGTGGTTAGGAGACTGGGGCCGACAGAGCAATGGGGCAGACCCAGGGCAGAGAGAACCTGTGCTCCAGGGGACCACTGGGCCACACCCAGTCTCTGTCAGCTCAGAGGCAAGGGCGGTTTATTTAGGAAGTGGGTTTGACACAACAGACTGTGGAAAAAAATACAGCCACATTGTACTCTTCCATCGCAGGTGGAAGTCACAGATGGAATAATGTAAACAGAGGAATAACCCAATCTGCAGAAAAAAGTCCGAAGAAAATATGAGTATATTTAAACTCAGGGTCAGAAAGACCTTTTACAAGGTAAGCTAAAAGCCAGAAACTCTGGATAGGCAAGGATAAGTCTACAAAAGACTTTATGTATGATATGTATATAAGCACACGAATGTATAAATTTATATGTAGCATGCATATCCATCTATATGCACAAATGATACATACACAGAGATACCACCAAAGAAATCAAAAGACTAATATTACACTGGCAAAATATTTGCAGTCATTATAGAAGATAAACAATTAGTGCAATAAAATATAAAGCACACTTAATGCACTCATGAGAAAGAAACATTAAAAGACGGCAAGATACATGAAAAGCCACTAAATGGAAATAATCACCATAGGTTTTGCAGACTCACAAAAATTACCAAAAAATGATATCTTCTACTGTTGTCAAAACAATGTGTGGAGAGGCCGTTCATTCATGAATGAAGGTCACCCTTTGGAGACTAGTCCCAAATTGTGTATTAAAATTTAAAATATGCACACTGTAACACAGCTGGCCCGCGGTGGAGAATCTGGGCCACCAAAGTAGGAAAAGAGACATCTGTATCTACATGTGATCTGTACTGCAGCGTCTTTCTGCAAAGACTACACGGTAAAGTTCCTGAAAACGAAGCAATTTTGCACTCACCCGGCTTGATCACTGCGAGCTTTACCTTCCATGGGAAGATACACTGGGAGCGGCGGAACTGCCGCACTGCATGTGAGAAAGGCAAGGTGCACAAAACTTGTACAATACGAATCCTTTGTAAAAACAAACAGCTAGAAATGTTTGAAGATGTTAGTAAGAAAATACGGGCACATGGAAGAAGTGGGCTTACTCTGTGGAAGTGGAGGGTAAATACTTTGAAAAGAAGTATCCAAAAAGTTGCCCAGGAAAAAAGACACCCCCCCAAAATGTCTTTGATAGAAACAGCAACCGTGATATAAAACCAATTTGCAAAATTAGATGTATATGTGTCGATGTGGAGAGATCTATACGAAAGGATGGAAACTAATATTAACGTGAAGGGTGGAAACTAATATTAATAGTAACATGTGCTTATCCCTTTGGTAGATATAAGATGTTTTTGCTTTCAAACATTATTCAGCCAGGCATAATCCCAGCACTGTGGGAGGCTGAGGCAGGAAGGTCTCAAATTCAAGGCTGTCTGGCCAACTTACTTGGGGAAACCCTGTCTCAAAATAAAAAATAAAGAGCTAGGGCTGTAGCTCAGTGTGAATGCCCTGGATTCAATCCCCAGTGGCTTCTCTACAAACAAACAAATGAGCAAACAACCACAACATCACTCAAGGTGTTTACTGAGCACATCTTAATTGTATAATCAGAAAAAAAAAAAACCTAAAAAACAAGCAGTGGGATAGTTTACCGATTCCTCACTGTATGCGAGTAGCCCACGCCCTGGCCCAGCCACTATGCATACTTCCTCCGAGTCACACTTCTAACGCCCTACCACCTCACATCTCCGAGGACTCTGAATCACGTCCCACCCTGCCACAGAGGCGGAGAAGCCATGAGGCAAACCTGGCAGGCTCTGGTCCCTCAGACTTTGAATCTACTCCACAGCAACCAAATGAAGTTCTGCTTTCCAGTGAGACAAACATCAAAAACAAACACCATGAATTTTCACATGTGTTTCTCCCTGTGCCTTCTGGTTTCCTGCTTAGGCTCCTGTCCATATGCAGGCTTGCTGTCACCAGGAGGACTCAGAAAGAAACGTTTGTGATGTTCCTAGTAGAATAAACCTCCTCAGACATCCGGAGTTTCCCACCAGCGCCTGTCCAATTTTGTTTATTTAAAACAGGCTGCACATAGTGAATGAATGGAGGCTGCTGACACTTAACCCTTCTTCCATGGCAGGGGGCTGTGTCCCTTCTCCCTGAATCCAGCTGGATGGTGGGAGCTTTGATCACTGAGCATGAGACGATAACACTGTGCCTGCTCAGAGGCCTGGCAGGACACACAGGGCTGCTGGATCCCTGAGCTGCCTGGGAGAGGCCACTCTCACCTGCTGGGGATCCTGTAGCTGCAGGAGCCAGAGAAAGACCCAGTGAACCTGACTTCCAGCATGAGCCTGGTGCAGCAGGGCCAAGGCCACGCACTGCTGGTGAAGGTCGGTGGGCACAGGCACTGGGGGTGGAGTCCTGGGGTGTCTGTCAGGATGACAGGCGGAGTTCGCTCTGGCCCAGTCCCGGTCTTCACATCTGTGTTTGGGAGGACAGATCAAATATGTGAACAAGGGCATGAACTGCAATGCTCCCCATTTGGTTCAGGGATAAGATGTATTTGGTTGTAGCTGGGTGTCATGCCATACGTCTGTAATCCCAGTACTTGGGAGGCTGAGGCAGGAGGATCACTACAAGTTCCAGGCCAACCTGGACTGCACAATGAAGCTTTGTCTCAAAAACAAAAAAATTGGTTGACCCTACCTCTAGTTTTTGGCTCCATGAGCCAGTTAGTGTCCTTCTATCTTCATCTGTTGTTCCTCCCCACCCTGAGCTCCAGATGGGCTGAGAGCACCTGAAATGCCATCGCTTGTGTGAACCCAGCATCCTCTAAGTAGAGTCAGGTGGCCTTTTTGCTGCCTCCTCTCAAGCTGGTGGTGTGGCCTCTGCAGCCTCTGTCCATCAGTGGTGTCCCTTCCCTCAGGGTGAAGGCAAGGAGGAGGGAGCCTGCTGCTAGGCTTCCCAGCTCCATGCCAAGGAGGGTGGAGTATCTGGAAACTCAGAAAGCACCTGCTCACTGAATCAGTTCACTAACTGGAAAATGCATCTATGAACATATAGCTGTGTGTGTGTGTGTGTGTCTGTGTGTGTACACAATGATGTAGACTGAACCCAGAGGTGTTCCTCCTTGAGCTACATCCCCAACCCTTTTTTATTTTTTATTTTGAGACAAGGTCTCACTAAGTTGCCCAGACTGGCCTCGAACTTGTGATCCTCCTGGCTCAGCCCCCTGACTAGCTAGGATTACTGGCATGCACCCTTGTATCTGCCTCAGCATATAGTTCTTCTCACACCAAGTGCCCAGAGCTTTCCCATTATTGTAGACTGACAAGTTAGGTGTGAGAGAGCAGGCAGCCACAGAGGCGCTGGGCCACAGCAGGGTTGGGATGACCAGGTCTTTATCATATAAATAGGAACCCGAGGTCAGGAGTTAATAAGAATGAGGACAATCAGTTCCAGAGATGTGAAAAGCAAGATAACAGCAAGATGATATGTGTCCACTGTGGCAACGACTCTGACCCGTCTGGAAAACATTTTTTCTTTCTTATTTTATTCCTTTAATGAACCTTAGATCCTTTGGTCTCCTATCAAGGATCCTTCATCCTCCTGATAGGGACTTGCATGGAACACTGCTGTGGGCTCCAAGCCCTCAACTGGATGCTTTGGGTCTCCAGCATGCAGACAGATAGTTGCACTCTTCTACGTCTGACTCTCGTAAGCACTGACCAACACACCCTTGCACCCTTAGCTACTCCCTTCCTAAGGGAAATGTGATAGTCAGCTTTCCATCACTGTCGAAAAAAACCTGAGATAATCACCTTAAAAGAAAGAAAAGTTTAGTTTGTCCATGGTTTAAGAGGTTTCAGTCCTTCTTGGTTGGCTCTGTTGCTTGGGCAGGCAGACTATCAAGGTGGAGAGCACATGGTGGAGTGGAACTGCTCATCTCATGGCAGCTGGGAAGGAAAGAGAGAGAGACAGGAAGGGGTCAGAGTCCCATGTGATTTTAAAGTCATGTCCCCAGTGACCCAATTTCCTCCCGGTAAGCCCCACCTGCTAATGATTGTATCACCTCCCAGTAGTGCCATGGGGTAGCAACCAAGCCTTCAACACATGGCCTTTGGGGAACATTCCAGGTCCAAACTACAGCAGGAAACAGTTATCCTTCTTTCTAACATTAAATACCAGTTTTGCATGTTGTTGAGCTTCATCCAAGTGGGACCACACTAAAGCAAATTCTTTCATGTGTGGCTTCTTTTGGTCCACTCTACGGCTATAAAATGTACTTATTTTTTGTGCTTGTTCTCATTTCTCTACAAAAGTCTACTGTGTTAATTCTACTAGTGGTAGACAAACTTTTCTATGTATAGTTGTGCACATATCTTTTGATTGTCATACGTGTGGATTTCTGTTCTGTGTATACCTAAGAGACAGGGCCTCAAAGCCACTGTGTAGCCCAGGCTGGCCCTGAACTTGCGGTGATCCTCCTGCTTCAGCCTCCCAAGTGCTGGCTTACAAGGGAAATCTTGGTTTTTAATGTATTGAGGCCATTTATCTTAGACTGGTTTAAGTTCACCAAAGAATATCATTTCAGTTTTCCTCTTGGGCATAAGCGATGGTTGTCTCTGGTTCAAACTGGCTGGAGTCCTTTGCTTTATCCGCTCCTGAGAACAAGATGATTTTCTTTTAGAGAAGGGAAGAAGTTCCCACCAGTATGGACAATGTTCAGGATATGTGTGCCACTTCTCTTCCACAAATCTGAAACTGAGCTTCTGATCTACAGCCTGCCTGTTCCCCTACTCCAGGAGATTCCCCCATGCTCACAGTCACTGAGGCTTTGAGGGTTTAGGGTAGTAGTCAGGTGTCTCTTAGTGCTTCCCATTTCTGCCTTCAGATTCAGCTTTAGTTGCATTTTGCTAAATCAGTTTTAACCCATCATACTGTTTTCCAGCTTCCCCAAAACTTGCAGTGTTGTCTCTCTGTAGGTTTATGTCTCTGAAAATTCCTTCCATCATTTGGCTGAAGTATGGGGAAGAAGCCACTGTGGACAGAGTATCCACCCACCACCTGCACTGGAAGCCGCTGCATTTCGGTACACTCCATCTTGGTGTACACATGGTATAGGGAGGGGTAGAAGCTCTTTGTCCCCACACCGTTTATTGAGCTGTTCCTTCTCTCCGCACTGAGGGGAACACTACCTTCATTACACTAAGATACGCCGTTCTGAGTGCATCCCAGGCACTGGTCCATCTGAGGACATTTCACTATTGGTGCTGTCACCTGGCCTGCTGTAGTCCAAAATGATTGCTTAGGATATTCTCCACACTCCTCAAAGTCTTGACACTGAGGCGTCCTGACCAGAAAGGACCCTACACAGCACTTGCTTAAAGCTACGTGGCCACTTCATATTCTCTTACTTTCCCCCAAATTTTTCCATAAGGCTTCTTAGCCTCTAACCCACTAGGATGCTACTTGATCAATAGTGGCTGATTGTCTTGTTCTCCATCACTGGACTATAACCTCCATGAACTCAAGGGCTTTTACTGTTTGGCTTTAATGTACAATGCTTATCATCTAACGCACATATATAAAATACATAAATAGGTACAACCCATTTTCAAACAAACATGGCTATTTCTGTTCCACTTACTAGTTTGTTTATTCTTGTGCTAATTCCACTCTGTCCTGTTTTAAGTAGTTTTATAGTTTAATATTGACAAATAAAATTGCCATTTATTGTACTTCTTTTTCAAATGTTCTTCCCTATTACTGGACATTTTTTCAATCATCATATTAAGGTGGGCATTTTATTTTATTGTGATCATCGTTGATATTTTACTGATTTTTCTGTTTACTGTTCTTGTTATCATCTACTTTTGTGTTTTGTTTTGCTGGAATTACAGACTTTTTAAAATTTCTCTTAAATTATTATTATTATTATTATTATTATTATTGTTATTATTATTATTATTATATTTAGTGCTGGAGATGGAAACCTGTGATCTTTGACCACTATGTTTTCATCTTCTAATCTTGGGGCAAACATTCAGATTCTCGCACTCCATACTTGAATACAACTTTGGTAGTACAAGCAGGACTGGGTGCAGAAGGAATCTGAAAAATCCCTGATTAGGGAAACTTGGGAGGTTGGAGGGGAAGCTCAGTGGTAGAGTGCTTGCCTGCCCTTGTGAGGCCCTAGGTTTGATCAACAGCACTGCAACACAAAATAGAAAAAGCTATTATCTTCTGTTTTAATCCAATCTCTCCCATCCCAATTGATCATGGGGAAAAATGTCTTCTGATGCTTTTTGTATGTCATTTCACAGAACTTGTATTATGTGGGCAGTTTCTAAAATTGGCGTGGCACAGCATTTGCTATAGCTTCTCAAATATTTTTTGAAAAATGAATGACTCCCTCCACCCATCAGTTTGTAAATCTTTTGCAAAGAGGTAATAATTTAATTTTGATCATTTGTATTCTAGTATTAATAAATTTGTGAGTAAAGGCTGAGTACTTCAGCATAAGGGCATGTGTGAAGTAGAAACTTGGCCAAATATCCAACCTCCCTCAAAAGCATGAGCTTCAGAGATATGCAGCAAAATTTAAAGAATGATTAAATAATTGGTTGTTGAACAACATGAAAAATTCCTCTTACCCAGGCACAGTGGTGAGTGCCTGTAATCCCAATGTATCAGTCACTTTTCTATGGCTGGAAAAAATAAACCAACACCTGCAATTTAAGGAGAAATTTGTTTGTGCTAGTTCCAAGGCAGAAATAGCATGGCAGAGGGTCATGGCGGAGGAAACATGTGCTACCCATGGCAACTAGGAAACAGAGAGAGAAGAGAACACAGGGACAAGAATATAGCCTTCCTGGTCTCAACCCAAGGGATTCCCCTTCCAATCAGGCCCTGCATTTTTTTTTTTGTAGTGAGAATTGAACTCAGGACCTTGCACTTGCAAGGCAGGTGCAGTGCCACTGAGCTAAATCCCCAACCCAAGGGCCCACCTCTTAACAACAAGTTTAGCTACTAAATTCATCAATGCATGAATTCACTGATGAATATAGTGCCCTGTGATCCCATCCCTCCCAAACATATGAGACTTCTGGGGGATTTTTTAGATATAAACCATAACACCCAGCTGCTCCAGAGGCTGAAGCAAGAGGATAAAAAGCTTGAGACCAGCTTGAGAAAATTAGTGAGGACTTTGCTTAAAATAAGAAAATAAAGGCCTGGTATGTAGCTCAGTGCAAGGCTATACTAGGTCCAACCACCAGTACCACTACAAAAAAATTGATGATGGTCAATTTTTAAAAATCCTCTAAAACAAGCAAACTGCATATGTCCTCCTAGCTCACATCTTG